AAAAGTGAACGGGACAATGTTCTGCAGATGACACACCTGCAACTTGGATCTGCTGAAGCTTGCCAGCAACATCTCATTCTGCATCGAAGGGCGGGGGGATCGAGGCAGACTCCATCAGCTCCTCGTAGTCTGCCGGCGAATAGTTGGAGATGCCTGTACATAAGACAACTGCGGTGATGATGAATCGGCAAATGCAGAAAGTCACAATTATGAACCAAGAAATCTAAGGTAAGTGAGCTTTTGCCACCGCCATCGTCATACACGATCGCTGCTTAGCATCCTGCAGCCTAGCTTGTGGTCGAGCCTAGCGCTTTGGCTTTGCCGCTTCGCACTAGTTCCTGGGGACATGAGGCATGCACAGCACACTTCTCAACTCTTCTCCGCATCCTCCAAAGCAACGTATGCCGCGACGTGCTTGCCCGGCATTGGCCAGTGCACCATCACCTCATTGCTGTAAAGGAACTTAAATCAAGCTACGTTCTCCCCCAATAATGGAGAATCATGAAAATGAAATGGAAACAGGGATTATATGGGAGATTGTTGAGGTTGTTCAAACTCCTAGTAACCCCTAAAACAGTCCCCTGAAACCTGTGGTAATATAGGGAGTTTTAAGGTACAAGCCATGCTTGCAACTTGTGAATTTCTCACACATGTGGATCCGTATATACTGCAAACTGTAAGAAACCCTCAAAAATTGGGATCCCCTACAAGTACACCTCCCAAGAATGAATTTCTCGTGTAAGGAGCCTCTAAACCCTAAACCCTATACCTTAAGCCCCTAAACCCTAAAACATCCTAAAACTAAAACCCTAAAACCCTCAAACCCAAATAATGGTTTCCATGTTCTTTTATAATATCCCTATATTCCCCCTATATTCCCTTAAGAACCGCCCATGTTGACTCGCAGCTAAAGCCCAAGACCCGGGCAAGGTCTACCGCACCCAGGCCCAGCTCATCGATGGAGATTTCCTTGGGGCTTAGGGGAATAAGGGGTTAAGGGTTGAAGGATTTCCTTGGGGCTTAGGGGACTAAGGGAACATATTGAGGCATCATATTAGGGTTATATAGGGTTATATAAGGATAATGGAGAAGAAAATGGAAGCTACTGTGTTACAATAGGGTCTATTTTGGGGTTATAAAGGGTTTCCATGGAGATTTCATTGGGGGCTTAGGGTTATGTGGGGTTATATAGGGATTTATAAGGGTTATATAGCGATAACGGAAAAGAAGATGGAAACCACCATTTGGGGTTCAGCCTTTGTTGCTTAGGGTTTCGGGCTTGAGGTTTTGGATTGTTTAAGGGTTGTTTGCTGTTTACCACGGTCTCATGTTCACGTGTGCGCACATAACTATGCAATGTTTGCATTGCATGGTCTATTGTCAGATATACATGGTATTTGTCTTGCACATTGTGCCTCACACAGGGCACGTCTCGTTGTGCATACAAGTCGTTATGACCCTGAACCCTTAACCCTAAAACCCCAAACCCTAAACCCTGACCCCCCAAAACCCCAAACCCTGAAGCCTAAAACCACCAACCCTAAAACCCCAAACCCCAGAGTCCCAGAGCCTATTCAAAGGCATCTACTCTTGCTTCCAGAGACTCTGCGCTGCGAACGGCAGCGGCTGGATCTCCCAGGTCGGTGGTCCAAACCTGACCCGAAGAAGCTCACATGAATGGAGTTATTTAGGGTTATGGGGGCTATGTCGTGCTAATGGAAAAGAAAATGGAAACTACTATCTAGGGTTTAGGGTTTAGGGGTTAGGGGTTGAAGGTTTAGGGTTTAGGGTTCGGGGTACCTTCAAAGCGGGGTATACCCTTCTGGGGGTCCCTATAATAGTAAATATGGCATGTCAGGGTCCATATTGGGTCCGCATGTTTCAGGGGACTACCATTTGCAAAGCGCACAATGTGAAAGGAATCTTGTGTATATACAATACAGTGTTACATGCATGCACCCATGTTTTATGCAAGACTAGATGTATATGTTGGACTGAACACGCAGGCCTTTGTTGTGACGAAGAGCTCAGATCTGCTGTGGCCTCGCACACCACTCCAGACTCCAGGCACTGTCCGACTCAGCACAAACATCTATCAAGCTAGCTAGCAAATCCCGGGCAAACCCCTATGACGTGACGTTACACTGCCATTTTTGTCTTTGATTCTGCCATCGCGGCTGAGTTTCCAAGCACTCGCCACCTTGCAGCTACTGACCGCTGCAGTGCATCTGCCCACCCCTGCGCCCTGTCAAACTTCAGTCTTGCAGGCCTTCGCAATGTACAGGTTATGCGTGTAACTTCAACTGCAACGTGAAACCCCGACCCTTTGCATGGACAACTAATGGAACTCAAGCTAGCCAAAGCTCTTACTTCTCAATGCCTTCTTTGAGCCAACTTCGCAGCGCCATACCGCACTCCGCCTCGCAAGGACAAGCTCTGAGGCTTGCAACGCTCCTGCCATGTGTGCCGCAGCGCCTCGTTGTCATAGAAGGATGCAAAGTCAAAGTGACGTAAACCTGCCTCCAACCCTGCGTCAATCACTGCCTGACAAGAATTGACACGCAACCGTGAGTTTGCAACAACTCTGATAGTGGTAGACCCAGGCCTTCACTTGATCTCGCGGAACATTGTACAGCCCCAGTGCCAATCTCTGCATTTCCGCCCCGTTTGCCAATGAGACAGTCGGAATCAGAACCTGCCCATTATGCAGGTCCGCCGCAGTAAATTTTGCGCAAGAATCTGACGACCTACCATGGAAGCTAACTGCCTGCCTTGCCAGCACCAAGCCTCCCAGGACTGCAATGTTCACGCATGTTTTTTTGCAAAAATCTGTGTCGCAGCGACTTTCTACCACACAACATCTTCAAAGTGAACGGCAAAGGCCCCAACAATGCAACCAGGATCAAGGGCCAAACCGGCCGCCTTGACAGGGATTGGCCAGGGTTGCGGCTGCGGCCAATTGTGCACAGGCACAAAACATTGTTGCTACCAAACGCACTCCTACGACCATCTTAATCTTACCAAAGTTCAGCAATGACAATATGAACAAACGGTATGAACATCGAGGGAGCATATCTCACTACTGAGCAAGAAACTTATGTTTTGCGGGCAACCACGCCAGATGCCTGGATCCATTCACGCTGGAACTTCGCCTGGCATCCGAATCATGACAAAGAGGCTAGGGTAAACAAACAAATTGGTTTTCTGCCTCATGAAAAACAGCCTTGTCATCATCACCGGCCTTATTGCCCATGTGCATACATTCGCAGGCTCAAATGTTCATTTCCGTTTGCAAATCATAAACCATGATGCAGTGTTACATGCTCGGGTATGATGTGCTGCTTCAATGAGGAATATGGTTGGAAACAATATCCTTGTTTTTGCATTCAGCTTTTTACGAGCACGAGAATCATCTAAACCGGGAACCGTTCAAATCAGTTGTGTTGAACATGTTTCAAACAATAAGCTCTGCACTGCAAAATGTGCTGTCAAGAAAACGTCCACTGAAACTCCAGTGGCATGATAAAAACATACACGTTCCACTCAATGATGCCTTTACCAATCGCAATACAACTTCGAAACTCGACCGTGCCAGAAACAAGAGATTTCCGCACAATGGACTGATGACAATTTTCCTGTATCTTTCTCCCTCCACATAAACGTACAATGTGCTTTCCTTCACATAAACGCGCACTATGCCAACCCATGCATGTTGACAAAAAGAAAGGAATAAACGTCACGCATAGCGGAAGAACATTTAAATCACCCTTCCAGACGTTGCGAAGACGAGCTTAAGACTTGACGGGATCTGCTCTTTGGGATCTGCCCAACGTTGTTGTCTGCCCACTCACCTTTCACCCGGCAAGCGCAGGGACTGGCAGCGCAGTTCGGCTGGTGCGCACAAGTCGTGACCAGCTGATAGCAGTTGAAGGAACAGGTTCAGCGGCAGTTCTATGAAAAAAATGTTGCATCTGTTTTTGGGTGCTTGATGCCGCACATCACGCAAACAAAATTGAGCGGAGTACCCGATGCTGCTCTGGCATGTGAATGTCCTACAAATGCCCAAACATCCGGCATGGCGAAAACGTCAATTAAACAAGATGAAACATGTTGTGCTTATCCCACCATACAGGCCTTGGCCATGATGACTCATGTGGGACATCGCGTGCGTGCATCGTTGAAGTAGTTGTACTATGCATCCAACTGCACTGCCAAAAACACAACGAATCAAAGAAAATCAGCACTATGCATACAACAATGTTTTGAAAGGCAACTTTGAATTGCCGTTTCTGGACCAAGCTTAAGAGTACAGAGTTTGTAAAATGCTCAAGAAAGAACATTCACTTGAAATCTGGACAATAAATTCTGGAACTCCTGCAGCAATCAACATGCATGTCTGGCGGCTTATCGAACAGACTTTCAACCGGGAAGGTTGTCATTGCCTACGCAAGGGGCTTGCTAGCCACCTTCTCACAGTGTTCTTGCAGAAGGCTCAAACGTGGCGCAATAAACAGTTCTGTCGCCAGACATTATCCGGGTGGCTTTTCCGTTTAAGGGATTACTGCACCTTCAGGTCGAACAAAGTTAGGATCGCTGTTAGGAACATCAAAAAAGAGCCTCTGGGCTGAAGACCTTTTGACGCAAAAATGAATGTAACTGTCAGAAAGGGATTTTCTCGAATGCGTTGCAGAAGGAGAGACGAACGACACGAAAATCGTTCCGAAACGCAAACTCTCGTCACTTTTGGACTTGCCTGGGGTGTTCGCGTCTCAAAAGTGTCAATAGTCACAGAGATCGCGGGGGTCGTGCTTGCAAAACCCAGAACTATCGTCACTTTTGGACTTGTCCGGTGTTCGCGTCTCAAAAAAGTGTCAATAGTCACAGAGATCGGGGGGGTTCGTGCTCGTGAATCCCAGAACTGTCGTCACTTTTTGGACTTGCCTGGGGGTGTTAGCGTCTCAAAAAGTGTCAACAGTGACAGGGACCGGGGATCGTGGTTGCGAAACCCAGAACTGTCGTCACTTGGACTTCTGGCGTCTTCGCGTCTTAAAAGTGTTAATAGGGATCCTTCGACTCGTCTGGCGCTTCGCGTTTCAAAAGTGTCAAGAGTCATAGGGATCGGGGGGGGTTCGGGGTCGCGTAAACCCAGAACTGTCGTCATTTGCGTCTCCGCGTCTCAAAAGTGTCAACAGTCACAGGGGTCGGGGGGATCGTGGTCGGGCTTTTGGATTCGCCTGGGGTGTTCACGTCTCAAAAGTGTCAACAGGGATCTGGGGGGTCGTGCTTGCGAAACCCAGAACTGTCGTTTTTTGGACTCGCCTGGGGTGTTCGCGTCTCAAAAGTGTCAATAGTCACAGAGATCGGGGGGAGTCGTGCTTCGAACTGTCGTCACTTTTGGACTCGCCTGGGGTGTTCGCGTTTCAAAAAGTGTCATAGTTACAGGGATCGGGGAGTCGTCGCGAAACCCAGAACTGTCGTCACTTTTCGACTTGTCTGGCGTCTTCGCGTCTTACAAGTGTCAATAGTCACAGGGATCGGGGGGTTGTGGTTGCGAAACCCAGAACTGTCGTCACTTTTGGACTTGCATCTGGAGAGAGGAGAGAAGAGAGGAGAGAGGAGAAAAGAGATGCGCTTGAACCTGTTTTGGCAGTTCACAGACAATTGTGACCTGTAGGGAAAGAGTTTTTTGTGGTAGGAAGTGTTTTGAGAAGGCACGTTTCACGCGAGTGTTTTTGCTGATAGTTTTCGCCACG